ATAACAAACAGCTGTTTTGTGTGCAGGTTCGCCTCATTTCATGTTTCACATTTCACGTGTGTTTTCTTGACAAAACGTGGTTTGGAGACCAGCGTCGGGTGACACAGCCGCTGTCAGCTCGTGTAGTGTGTGACCCCCTGTCACCGATCAGTCAGGTAGTGTGAACGCCACGACGACTTCAAGACTCACGTCACAAGACGGCAAGTTGTGCAGTGTGAACAGCACGGCCATCGGCCGACGCTGAAAGTCGTGTCGTCTGCGTGAGCCTTAATTTAGCTGACCCCATAAGTGTTTTCTGACCTTCTAGCTCGAGGTATTTCTCACACGTCCTTGTCAGCGAGACAACAACAGACTGATTAGGTAGAGTCAGTAGCTCATGCGTCAGGCTAGCAGATATCGGTGTTCTCCGGTAATCATACAAGGTTGAGTCCTACAAGAATGTTTCCAAGAACCTACTGGCTCCACAGGTTAGAGCACAACTCATGGGTAGTGACAGATTCCAACATGATGAAGCACTGGAGTCTAAACATCAGATAGATGAGTTGTTCTGGGTTAAGGCCAGTTAAAGATGAGCTAATAGGGAAACCTACAGGCACTAGGGGAAGACAGAAACATAAAAGGGACCAAAAGATGTCATCCTTCAGATTTGGTGTTGGCATTTGATGTGTTCACATGTTGTATGCTGGCACTGTGTCTCCTCGGCCGGGCTCAATAAACCATGCTATGTTAAGTCTTCATCAGTCTCTGAAACTTCTTCACACCTGAACCTGGCTCACAGTATTTCTTCAACAATAACAAAAATCTCATCAGATCATTTTTAGGTTTTTATTACTGATTGTTTTTGTTTTTATTTATCAGTGTGAGAAATGTTTGTGTGTTTTGTGCTCAGCTGTTTCTGTTTCAGTCTGACTTTGAACAACAATATTCAAGTCTTGATTTCATCTCATATCAGGAAGCCCACTGTGAGTTTTATAAAATGTCTTTTCCTGCATCAGTTGTGAAAATCTTTATTTTCTGCAGCCAGTTCAGAACACAGCAGCTGGATTTCAGCTTCATTTAACAGGAACGAGCATTTAACTCTAGTAACAGTCTCCTCTTCATTATATCTGATAACAATATAAACTGCAAATAAAGAAATGTTTACCACTTTAGTCTACATTGTGTTTTGTGATTGTAGCAAACCTAAATTTAGTTATGCAATTTAATAAATTTATGAGAATTGATACCCAGTTGTGAATTTTTCTTATTCATAAAATCAAACCAGATTCCTTGTTAAGGGCACCACCGGAGTTGTTATAATCCCAGAGTCTCCGGACCTCTAGGTAGTTTTGAATAATTATACAATTATTACTAGTGATCAGTTAGTTAATCGCTCAATTATCTTAAATCAATCAGTCAGTCTCATATCTAAAGGGTCAATTCTCTCGGCAGGGAAGTAGAAATAGGCAACACACACAGCTCTTGATTATATTACAGTGAATTTATTCTCTAACTAAGGTGATAAAAAGATGGTTGGATACAGGGAACATAAACATTTGGAGGTTCGGTTGTGGGAAGCATTTGACTCATACGGCATAGAAGAGCTAATGAAAGTAAACTAATGCTATAGTTTAGGAGTTAAAATGGACATCTGATCACAGAACGTGTGTTAAGTCTTACTGCTTGTCGACAGCCTGCTTTTGGCCTGTTGCACGGGTCCCACGCTAGCTGCCGATCCTGGCTTTTTGCTAGGGATTCTCCATGGTTCTCCGTGTCTGATTGAAAACGCCTCCTCCGTCTGGCAATTCGGCTGTTTTCAGGTTTCCTTCGTTGTAGCTGGCGAGACCACGTGGCTTGGTCTGACATCGGTGAAGTTGGCTCGACGAAAAAGGCTTAAAATGGAACTTGGTCGTTCCTGAATTAGTCCAGTGTAACTTAACGGACTGATAACTTTAACAAACAAAAGAAATAAAGAAAATAAAACAAACTGAAGGCAGACCGATGTCGCGGCACTTCAGGTGTGTAGCTTCAGGCGAACAAAAGGCCGGTCTCGCTTGCCGAGCCTGAGGGCGCCGCCTGGCGAGGCACGCCACACACGTGCCGAAGCGTCCAGGGAGCCGAGCAGAGCGCGAAGAGCAAGGAGCGAAGAGAAGAGAGCGAAGAGCAAGGAGCGAAGAAAAGAGAGCGAAGAAAAGAGAGCGCGAAGCGAGGTCGCGTGTCGCTCTTTTGTTGCTTGGGGCGTGGTTCCCCAGGGGGCGTCTCAGGTTTCCCAAGGGACTGCCTCTCTAAACTTAATGTCTAAAGAAAAGAAATCTATCTGCACGTATTATAATCAAATATTTTCCACAATCAAACCTCAACGGTCAAACGGTTGTACTGTTCTAGGCATTTGGTAACAGGAAACAATTGTCACATTATTGGTCAGGATATTTATACATTTAACGGCATTTCCGACGAGGGCATGTAATACTTATTTCGTCCACTTGGGGGAGCTCAGGTTACATGAGGAAAGCTTGGATTACATTAGATGAAGGAGTGTCTTGCTGAAAATAAAAAAAACACTGCACAAGTAACTTTCTTTTCAGCACTAATATCTTCAACAGATAGCAACAACAGTTAACATAACTACTCAAATAGAGGCAAATGTAATCAAGTAACTAAAGATTTATTTAACTCAATTAAATGCTTTGAGTCTTTGGAGACTGCAGTCTTTTTTACATTTAAAGTTCGGCTGTCCTGGATTATGTCACACTTAGATGAGACAAGGAGTATCCCTTTGAGGGGATAATAAACATAGAGCAAAGTCAGTTGCCACGGAAACATGTGTGTGTGTGTGGGGGGGGGGGGCAGTTTTGATAGGCTGTTCAGGGAAATGCCAATGGTGTCATGATCCTGTCTGTGTCTTAGCTCCTCGTTCTGTGTCTCGGTTTATGTCTTAGTGTTTTTGGTTCTGTCCTGTGTCCAATATCAGTTATATAGTCTGTTGTTTTTTGGGGTTCACTCATGTCCGTCTCTGTCTTGTCTGTCGTCTAGTGTTCAGTAACCCTTGTCTTGTCTGTCGTCTAGTGTTCAGTAACCCTTGTCTTGTCTGTCGTCTAGTGTTCAGTAACCCTTGTCTTGTTTGTCGTCTAGTGTTCAGTAACCCTTGTCTTGTCTGTCGTCTAGTGTTCAGTAACCCTTGTCTTGTCTGTCGTCTAGTGTTCAGTAACCCTTGTCTTGTCTGTCGTCTAGTGTTCAGTAACCCTTGTCTTGTCTGTCGTCTAGTGTTCAGTAACCCTTGTCTTGTCTGTCGTCTAGTGTTCAGTAACCCTTGTCATGTCTGTTACCAAAATGATCCCCTCTGCATGTCTGTCTCTGTCTTCCCCTGCTCGCTCTCTCCCTGCCTGTGCCTCTTTAGCCTCATGTCTTTCACCTGTGTTGCTCCCGCCCTGCTCGTTAGTCCCTGTGTATATATACCTGGTGTTTCTGTCTTGTCCTTGTCGGATCATTGTATGTTGTCACCCTGAGTTGCAGTGTGTGTTTCTTGTGTAGTCAGCCTCACTCGTCGTGTCTCCCTGTTTCCCTGCTCATTTTGGATTTCTGTTTTTGTTTTTGGAATCTGTCTTCAGCCACTCAGTTTGTAAGTGTGCTCACCTTTTGTTTATATTAAAACCCCTTCACTGAACTGCACCTGCTAGCCTTCGTGTCCTGCGTTTGGGTCCTCCATCCTCCTCCAACCTGCTTCACCACACCACTTACCGTGACAAATGGCTGGTTCGTGTCCCTTTGTCAGTTTAACAGTCAGGCCCCGCGTTATCAGTTTCGGAATCAAAAAGGTGCCAGTTTTATGGTCAGGGCTAGCACTTAGAGAAATCAACTTTGACCCCTCCCCATCTTCTCTGGGGAGGAGAAAGGAATTTAGAGTAGCTCCAAATTTATTCAATACAAAATGCACAAATCCACACCGTTGTTCACTACATGATTCCTTCATGTACTAACAGTGTCATAATGGAAAGTGAATATTCTTTACTATGAATGTTCTGCCTCTACTAGTAGAACCACCTCCCTCCTCTTGTCCCCTTCTAGTAGTAAACCTTCCCTCTGGAGGACCTCTAACCTTCCAGTGTCATGTTACGTCAGGCAGGGAGCAGATAAAGCAAGGATTCAGACAGAGTGAGAATTATACAGTGACAACTGGGGGGTCAACTTTTTTTCCAGGATGTAAAGGAAACAGCAGGTGTTTGCCTCAGTGAACTGAAGTCTTACAATCTCCTTGTTTCTTTAACGTAATGTCTGCAGTCTGTAGATGAGGATGAATCAAGTTCACCAGTTCATGGGTGCCACAAACAGGAGTCACCAAGTATTGTAGAAAGTCAGACCCACACAATGCTGAACCAGAACCAAAGACACTATCATAAAATAGAGTCTGCATTATCATCTCTAAATCAGAATTCTTATCATTTCAAGCTTCAACTTTCAACTTACTCTAAGCAAACATCTCATTTCCTCTAGCTCATGTTAACTGTGAATGAAATGTAATCTGCGTTCAATAAAGTAGTAGTCATACATGTGAAACAACAAACCTGGATTTGAACATTTTTCAGTTACCTAGCCAGGTAAAACTCCCAAATTTCAGAGTGAAAACAAATGGCGTGCTTATTGTAAAACACAGGCGAGCCAACACTAGACAAAAAGGAATACACACACTTAAATACCCAAGAGAGGTGGAGGAAACGAGACACAGGTGGAAACAAAAATCAACTCAAGGACAGGAAGTGAACTGACAAAGACCCACGAGGAAGGATTTAACAAATTAAAACAGGAAATCACCAAACTCACAACCAAAACCAGGACATCCAGGGGTTAAAGTAGTTTTCATCAGAATTTGATAAACGCCTGTTTGTCTCATGTCCACATTCTCACCAAAACACTTCCTATTCAGCTCAGTCAGGAGAGACTTAAATGAAAAAGAGGCTTAAAGAGGAATTAAAAGGAAAAGGAACAGGAGAGTTTAAGAAATGTGAGAGGGATGTACGGCCTACCTGGTGGAGGGGCTGTGACCACAGAGGCCAGAACCAGAATGGATGTGAAGGGCTCAGTGGGATCACTGAAGACTGCTTGATCCACCAGCTGCTGGAGCGAGAGAGGGAGGGAGGCCTGGAGCTGGAGTGATGCTGCAGTCTTTTATCTGGTCGGGGTCCTCCAGGAGAGAAAAGACAGTTTGAAAGTTTGACAGCAACAATATGATTGGCTCACAGAGGTTGTGGCAAATTCTGATTGGTTTAACTGAAAGAATGAACGCCCTCAATCTAATGACGGAGTTGGAAGCAGAAAAAAGGAAGAGAGGGGGCGGGGGAGAAATAGAGTCAGCATGAACGATGTCTTCCTGATTCAACTTCTGCTGAGCTTCAATTCTCAGAAAAAAAGGGCTGCAAAGATAAAATGAGGAACCAGCAGATCTCAGAGCAGTAAAATATCATCTTATCTGTGTTCTTCAGCAGCTGCTACAGTATCACCATATTGCACCATGGACATCAGGAGTCAGATTCTGGTGGGAGAGGAGTTTGACTCTTCACCTGTCTGTTCATGTGTGCTGTCAAACATCACCATGGATCCTGTCTGTTTTCTAATAAACACTATCTGAAGAAAACAAGTTGCATCATTGCAAACATTTATCTTAACTAACAATCTTCACACCTTCAGCTTCCTCTTCTTCTTCTTTTCGCTTGGTGAAACACGTCATTGTCACAAATAGACCTGAATGAACAAAGTGTGAACTCTGATGGCTGCATCTCATGTTGCTGATCAAGAATTTGGGGACCAAAAGTCACTATGAGGAAGTGACATCATCCTAACCACAGGAAGTAGCTGCTGCGTCTCTCTACTAAAGCACTAGTTTAGAAACTCAGACAGTTCTGAGCACGAGAACAAGAGACAGAAGAAGGAGAGACTCAGAGAATCATGATGGTTGAGTTCAAATGGATTTCTTTATTTCTTACAGCGGTGCTTCAGTTTACAGGTAAGAATACATATATCACATATATAAATGGAAGGCACATTGTAAAAAATAACTTGATCAATATTATTAAAGATTCTTTATTAGCTACATTTGATTTAACTAAGAAAACCAAATCTGTTGTTTCTAATGTGGTGAGTTTAGTGAACTCTTGGAAACTAAGGATAAAGAAATAATCGTCACTAACTATGAACATAACAGACATTTTCTCATTTCACTTTAATTTTCATCATTTTCTCAACAGCAGCAGCTGAAAAACTTCCCCTCTCCTTCACTGTCAGAGTTGGAGATGACGTCACTTTGCCTTGTGAAAATGTGAAAGACGGTCAGAAAAACTGTGAATATACTATATGGCTCTTCAGTGGTTCAGGAAACAAACCAGCAGTAACGCTGTTTGAACTTGGGCAGATTCACAATGAAGCCAAATCTAAATCAGACAGACTGAGTGTTACAGAGAACTGTTCTCTGGTTATAAAGAAGGTCACAGTCGAGGATGTTGGTCGTTATTACTGTCAACAGTTCATATCAGGACAACAACAAGCTCCAGACTCTCAGGTTTATCTGTCTGTTGTTACCAGTGAGTATTTCCATCATAATGTTTTCAGCTCAAACTGTCTTGTTAGAACAATATACTGAAACATAACAATAATTATGATCACAGTGATGAAGTTAACTTTACTCTTGTTGTCTTTCTCTCACAATATCTCCATCTTCACCAGTGACTGAACGTAAGGACGCTGATAAGGTGACGTTAACCTGCTCTGTGTTGAAATGAACAGTCCTGTAGACACACAGTGAAGTGGCTGTATGAGGGTAAAGATGTGGATAAAGATAACAAAGACATGAAGACATCACAGTCTGTCTGCTACGCCGCTGTGTCTTTCCGGATTCTCATTTTAGTTACAAATCAAAGTCTAACTTGAAGTGTGAAGTGACAGATGGTTACTCTGGAAAAGTGCAGCTGTTCACCTTCAGCCCTCAGTCCTCAGGTGAGAAAACAGGTGAGAATATGCTGAGCTGTTCAAGATGACTAAAACCACCAAAACATTTGTTTATTTGATGACTTTTTAAGATGACATCATTCTTTCTCATTTAGTGACAGCAGATGGTAAACATGAGGGATTTTCTAACTCAACAGTTTCTTGGGTTGTGATATTTCATTCATGCAGGTGACGCACAAACAACAACAACAACTGAAAACACAAAATCCGTTACAGCCACAACAACAATTAATGATACTTCAACAAAACTTCAAGATAGTAACTCATCTTTCTCTAGAGTCTCTCTGTCTTCCTGTCAGCCTCTTTCTCTCCCCATACTGAACTTCAATATTTTACTTTTTATTGATTTTTTTAATTTTACAGGGTTTTGTTTTTTGGTACTTTATAGCAAAAGAAAATGCTTCTTTAATTAATTAATTAACTTTCTGGAAAGACAAAAGTGACCATTATAAAACAAAAAATAGGAAGTGATCAAGAATACAATTATTGATTTATTGATTATTGATTGTATCTCTCTCCCTCTGAGAGAAGTGAGCGACACTCGGTTATGGGAGATATTCTCTTATTCAGTCAGTCTCAGTCAAAAGTCTTCACACAACACAAAATTACAAAATAAGATGTTGTCCTCTTATTCTCTTGCCAGATCAGAGGTGGTTCATCAATGTGTTTCTGGGAGTTGCAGCTCTCTTAATAACTGTTGTTATTGTTGTTGCTCTCATCAGATGGAAGAAAACTAAAGGTGAGAGCAACCACAGATATTATAAACAAGAAATTTTGATGAACCTGGATTTTTATTGTTGAAGCTAAAGTCGACTCTCTTTTGTCTCTTCAGGAAAAAAACCCCAGATGGATGAAAACACTGTGAGTTTTACGGCTGAGTAATCAAATGTTTCTACAGTTATGACAGAGCTGAATCAGCTGCTCTCTGACAGAGTCATCCAAATCTAAACAGCCTTCACAGAGCCAGTGTTTGACCACATGGAAGTAGACTCTGTTTGTTTGTTGTTTTCAGGGACGGAGCTTAAACCCTGCAGTGAGTCCAGAAAGCAGTCAGGACACGGTGAGATCTCACACTACACCCAGGACAAAGTTACACTCACTGTTTTTAGATTTGTTGTTCAAAATGTAGCTCTATGAGACACACAGTGACTCTTGAATCTAAGTTGTTTCTGCAAGAGAAGAAGTGGGGAGTCTGATGATGCAGCTGGACGACACCAGAACAGACCAGAACACAATCAAGTCCACATGTTACTGAGCAGCCATTATGTTGTCTTCTCTGTGTAGGCTGATCCTGAAGATGGTGTTTCCTACGCCTCCATCAGCTACACCAGGAAGACCAACAGTAAAGGCCGGGTAAGCTGTCTGATTGGTTCTAGTGATGATGGCAGTGAATGAAAACACTTCTCTCATTTAATGTTGTGTAATTTCTGTGTTGTGCTGTTTGTCTCTTTTCCAGGTTCTGGGTAAAGATGGTGATGATGAAGATGATGCAGTGACCTACAGCAGCGTGAAAGCTTCCTCTTCTTCTGCTGGAGCCTCAGCTGATCCCAGCGACCTCTACGCCACCATCAACTAACCAAACAAATAAGACCACATGTAGTTACAGCTCATATCATTACAGGTAATTTACACTGAGAACTGATAAATGTTTTATTATTTGAATTATTTTATGATAATATATGGGACATTTAGCTTGATGAACTTGCTGTCAGGCACTTTAATGTGCTAGTGCTGTGTTGTAGTTAGTTTTTACTGTTATTTCTATATCACCTGTTATTGTTTGATATGCAGTCATTTTAACACCTATATCTCTGTTCAGGTTATTTTTTATGTTCTGGTATGAAAGTAATTAAATGTCAATCAGAAGCAGAAAGGTGGGTCAGCGAAAAGACGGTAAACAGCTTCGATTCAGCTGTAGGCTACATGTTACCGACCAGCTTGGTAACATGGACTGGAGCAAGAGTTTCATAGTGGTGAGTTATTAATCTGTAACAAAAGTATCTTTCATCCATAAAGTTTTAACTGAGCTCTGTCTCTACATCACAGTAACAACTTTATGTCCATTGACTGCTTGGAGGGTAGCTAGTGTTTGGAAGGGAGAGAGCTGTGTGCTGCAGCCCACTGTTTTTCCACCGGCGTTTTTGAGGGTGTGTTGGACTAGTCGACACGTATGACACGTATTTTCTTGTGACATCACAAGAAAGGGAAGAAAAGGCTGGACGATCTGTTTTCAGACTGTTCAGAGCAGAGTTTTCTGTGGGAGATGGGAACTCCCTCTGGGCTGGACTTTTTCACTTTGCAAACCTGTTACATGCACAAAAAAGATATAACTCAATAAAGGAGAGGGGAAAAGCCAAAAAACATAATACCACCTCTTTAACTTCCTCTTCATCTTTTTAGAATGTGAAACATTATTGTCACAAATAAAAGGCAATATAAAGACAAAGGTCAGTTTTACTTGATCCAGGCAGGCAGGGTCAGAACACCAGGTAATAATGCTGCATTTGACACATGAAGTTGGATTTTGTTCCTAGTCGGAAATTTCAACTGGAATTCACCTTAAGGAGGCAGAGTGTTACACACTTCTCTGCGCTTCCATTTCAGCTTTTACCAAAACTCCATAGTGACGGCGTCTGCCCCCAAGCAGATGCTGAAAACAGTATTGGCTCCGACACTGTGGAACGCTCTTTCTTTAGACTTACGTTCCTCAGTCTCTTCGCGCCTTTAAAAAGCAGCAGCAGACTCTTTTCTTCAAACTGGCCTTTGTCTCGCCTCGTGCTGTTTAGTGTTTGTAAGTCACAAGCATTGAGCTGTGATGGTTAGGTTTAGAACAAACTAAGAAGTGTATACTGAAGGTGAGGAAAGGATCGGGCAGGCGGCACTGATCGGGCACCTCAAGGTTCCTAACTGAGTGAAATGAACGAATGAGGTGTTTAAGTGGTAGCCGTGATAAGAGCTCTCTAAATGCTAAGTAATGGCCCTTAAATGCCTCCTTCCTTCTCTCCTTTAGCAAAGGGTACACTGGACCGTCTTTTACGAAAGGAAAGGAGATAATGCCGTCCCATAATTCCTTGCAACAGCAGCATTTAAAGCAACTCACCATTGTAGTTTCACTACGACAGACCCACATAAATGTACAGAAGCATCTAAAAAATATTAGAATATCTTGGAAAAGTTTATTTGAACTGAACCATTTCATTTTTTCATTTATTTCGGTTTGGTCATTTACAGATCATTCAATCAAATCATTCAAAACATAAACACTATAGATGACCAGGTGCAGGCAGAAGCAAAAGCTTATTGTGCCTGCCCTTAACTTTAGAATCATAAATGCAACTCATTATTGACAACATCTCTTGATAAAATTAACAGTAACACATTAGTGGACCATTGTCCACACCAGAAGCCTATTTAATTAATTTTCATTCTAATAACTATTTTTCCAATGTTATTCTCTTGTAGATATTTTTAAACTGAAAAATAGACGTGGCTTGTTTTAACTCATTACAGCAACTATTCCACAATTTAACTCCTTTATTTGATAAACAGTGTTCTCTTAATGTAGAATGTACTTGTGGTTGATTAAATATACATAATCCTCTAAGATTATATTTACTTTCTCGCTGGGTAAATAATAATTGCAAGCATTTAGGAGTTTTATTATATTTGACTTGGTAAATAAACTTTAACGTGTACAAATCAACTAAGTCATAAAACTTCCAAATTTTTGATTGATGAAACAGTAAATTACTTGGTGAATTATAAGGTGCATAGTTAATTAATCTGATAACCTTCTTTTGTAATAGGAAAATTGGATTGGTTCTAGTTTTGTATGTATTTCCCCATATTTCAATACCATACGTTAAGTATGGTGTGACAAGTGAACTATAAAGTAAATGTAATGCATTTTTGTTCAAAATACATTGCAACTTATACAAAATTGCAATCGTTTTTGATACTTTCTTCTGAACGTTAAAATATGCGGTTTCCATGTCATTTTACAATCAATAATTACTCCAAGGAATTTTATATGATTTACTCTTTCTAATGCATCATCATTAATTGTAATCCTGATCTCATTATTTATCTCTTATTACTAAATACAATTAATTTAGTTTTATTTAAATTTAATGACAATTTATTCAAATCAAACCCATTCTTTAGTTTATATAATTATTTCTCTACCACCAACACAAGCTCTGTAAGATTTGGGCCAGAACAATAAATTGTTGTATCATCCTCGAAAAGAATAAAATTTAAAACATCCGACACTTTACAAATATCGTTTATATATAACAAAAATAACTTGGGGCCCAAAACAGAGTCTTGCGGAACGCCACAATTAATTCTCTGAAAGCAGGACGCAACTCCATTTAAATTAACATACTAAAAATTTTCTAACCAAGAATATACATTTCCCCTAAATCCATATTTTTCCAATTTATATAATAATATTCTGTGATCGATGGTATCAAAAGCTTTCTGTAAATCCAAAAAAATGTAATTTTTTATCTACTGATTGTGATATATTTTCTACCATTTTAACAACTGCCATTGTTGTTGACCTATGAGCTCTGAAACCAAACTGATGTTCATTCATTATATTATTTACTTCAACATAGCTATCTAATCTTTTAACAAATAATTTCTCTAATATTTTTGAAAATTGTGACAACAGAGAAATAGGTCGATAACTACAAAACAAATGTTTGTCGCCACCTTTTACAATGGGAAACCTTTGATATTTTCATTTGCGTTGGGAATATACCAGTTTTAAAAGATTGATTGCAAATATATGTAAATGGATAAATAACATTTTCAATAATATTTTTAACCATAAACATATCAAACCCATCATTATCAATTGACTTTTTATTCTTACAGTCTTTCACTATTTTCAATATTTCATCTTTATTAGTTGGGTTTAAAAAAAATTAGTTTGGACTTTCATATGTAACCCCAATTTCCATTCCATTGTTTGGAATGGGTACAATTTTCTTTGCTAAATTATTACCTATATTTACAAAATAATCACTAAACTCATTAACTATTTCCTCTGTTCGACGTATTGTATAGTTGTCTTTATTAAAGTAATTAACACTATCCGTATTACTATATTTTTATGTATTAAATCATTAAGTACCTTCCATGTTCCCTGAATATTTTGTATCAACAATTTTGTGTAATAATCTTTCTTACTATTCCTAATTATATTCACTAGTTTATTCTTATATGTTTTATATTTGCTTTCAGCATCTTGAGTTCTGGAATGTATAAATTTTCTGTATAATAAATTTTTCTTCTTGCAGGACTTTATAATTCCTTTAGTAAACCACGGTTTCTGCATATTACATTTATATGTTATCGTTTTAAATGGGCAGCATTTATTATAAATTTCTAGTAATCTCTCCAAAAAATACTATAAGCTTCATTTGGATTTTCATAACTATAAATCTCATCCCAGTTACACTTATTTAATTCCATTTGCAGTGTTTCAATTGCTTCAGATGTTCTATGTCTCACTGTTCTTGAAAATATGGTTGGACCTAGTGGTGGTTTAAACACATTTTGAAAACATGCAAAGACAGGCAGGTGGTCACTAATATCGGTTATTAGAATACCTCCATCAATTTTGCAAACGTCATTTGAAAATATATTATCAATTAATGTTGCTGATACTGTTATTCTTGTTGGCTTTGCTATTACTGGAAATAATGTACTATTATAAAAGGCATTAATAAATTCTGTGGTCTTCTTATGTCCCCCTGGATTAAGCAGGTCAACATTAAAGTCACCACAGACAATATTTGTCTTATTTCCATTTGAATTGAACATGTTCCCTACAAATTCATTAAAAATACC